TTATTTTCCATTTTTATAATTTTATGGAAGGTTCAAAATTAATTATTTTAATTTAAATTCAAATAATAAAATCTTTAAGTATTCTTAATATTTTAATGTATTATAATTTTGTTATGTTATTTAATTAGTATTATCTTTAAATTGTCCTTAATTTACCAGACCAAGTAACTAAATTGTATTTATAGTACATGAAATCACACTCTTATAGTCTTATACCTACTCTTGCGTTTAATTTGCACACTTAAGAGTCACTTTGATGTCATCATGTTAAATTGCCTGTTGGCCTGTATTTATTTCTTTAAAACACAACCAACGTCCGATTGTAACCCCCTTATTTCTTAAGTGCTAAGATTGAGCAGTTACAGTCCAAAATTGAAAATAATGACCATTAAAACTGCTTTTCTTTAGCTAGTCTATTCTGAGCTTATGGACCACCAATCAAGAGCTCGTAATATTATCTTATTTAATGTATAGGAATTGTCTTCATTACCTATGGCCAGTTAAGGGAAGCCTCTACTGTTGATGGTTTAATTTAACAACATTGGTCTACAAATGTACCTATCTAGTATTCTAGTGCCTATATTTATCCTTCTCTTAGGTAAACCAACAAATAAAACACGACTATTAGTTACTATACAGGGTGTCCCGTGAGGATTTACTCATTGCGATATCTCCTGAAATAATAGAGATATCGTAATTCTGTTTTCTTATTAAGACTCACAGAGGTAAGCACTACAAATAACTAATTTTTATTTTTTTTTTTATGTTTTGGTAAAAAAGTTAAAAAAATTATTGTTTTAATTAATTATTTAAAAAAATATTGAAGATTGCCATTTTGTAGAGTTCATTTTTCTGAAAATATTGACGTTTCAACATTTTAATTTCATTAATTTCCTGATTTTTAATAATTTTTTTAATTAATAAGTAAAACGGCAAAAAACCGGTTTTTGTCTGGGCGGCGAGTCCCCCTCTACGGCTAATAGGTAAATCCTCACGGGACACCCTGTATGTTTTTGAAGTTATAAAATTAAAACTGAAATTATTATGGTAGGTATCTCGGAATTGTAGGATAGGTATTCGTATAGCATCTGATCAGACTAACGGCAATATTTTTCTAAAATTATGTCTCAAATTAAGCTGCGGGCAAAAATTATTTACTTGTTAAATTCATCAATAACCTGCCTACTAAAAAGCCACTTTAAAGAACTATATTTATATATAGTTTTATGACGTATTTTATATTATCAGAATGTAAAAGATCTAAAAACTGAATTAGACACATCATTTATACCTTAGATTATATACAATATATGATCTAAGATTTATACGTAACGTCCACTAGGCACTAGGTATTTATAATTATGACATAATTGTGTTAACAATACAGGGACCTGACTATCTAGTTCTGTTTATGACTTTGTTCACTTTATATTGTTTTCGGATGTGATAATGAGATATTATATATTGTACCTAATACATACTTATTAAAACTAAATAAAATCAAAAAATACATCAGACCTATCGGTGAACTTCTTTAGTTAAATACAAAAACCAAGTGATCCACAACGTTTCGGACTGAATACCCGTCCTGTAACATGTAGAGGGGCAGAAGTGCAGAACTGTCAAAACTAGAACCTCGCTAAGTTGAGGTCTTGAGGATTGAATAATTTATTCTGCTAGTCTAAACAAAAAGTATATAATAATAACACAAAACAGTGGAGCACATTGGAGAGTTCAAGGGTAGCAGTTGCTATTCTGGATTTTTTTTTTTTGTGGGTGACCCAAAATATTTACATCATAAAAATTCTATTACGTATAAAAATCAACTATTACCAAAACATTCTTTGTTGCACTCAAAATCCAAAGTTTGTTAGGAAAAAATGATACTATTGCTAACAATATGGTAGTTTCAAGTTTGTAAATTAAGTGAAAATCTAAGTTATTAACTAGAGATGAGATAAATTGTATTTGTATTACTAGTTGTCGGTTGTTATTGAACAATTATATCTATAATATTTACATACTAAATCTGTTAATCTCATTAATTACATTATTTATTTAATGGAAGTTTTAAAATTTAGTAGGGCCAACGGTCCCATAATTTGAGTTTGGAATTTTATACGATATCCCGTAGCATGTATTAACTATCAAATTATATCAAAATTCAAAATAAAATAAATATTAATTTTGTTTATTGGTCCATTTAGGATTTGGGATACTCTGATCATAGCAATAAATTACCCATGGCTTAAATATACGGCTTATACTGGCTATACTAAGATATGGACCATACCACCCTTACATATTAAAATGATGCCCTTACCCTGCCATTTTACTTATGTTTAAAAAAAAATATGGGCTATGTGCAATAACGTTGTACATTTAAGCCACGAAATTACTCAATTAGTCATGATTAAGGACCGGATTTATATTCTCTTAAAATACCCAAAATATGATGCTAATATTCTCTAAAAAACCTTCAAATATTCTCATTATATACTCTCAAAAATTTAAAAAATATGCAAAAATAATCAAAAAACATCATTATATGCTTTAATATGCATTTATTTTTTAAAATTGTATTTTCAACTATATTTTTATAGTGAGATATTAATTAGGTATTAACTATTAAGAGTTGCATATTATACCTCATGGAATAGTATTGCACTTTAGCAAGAGTAAGAAGTTGGAATATAATATAAATACAACAATATAATATTAAAACACAAAAACAAAATTTTGATATTTGAATATTTGATAAACTTATAAGTTGATCTTATCAGTAGATATACATAGATAAACCTTGATATTACTGCGTGTTTTATTTTTATCAAAATGAAAAAAAAAAAATAAATTGTAAATGGTCAAAAAAAATTTTCAGAGTACCGTAATATTCAAATTAATAAAAATAAATACAAATTTTTGCTCACAATTTACGAAATATTCCAAAATATGCTAAATGGGTTAAATATTCTCCAACCCATGAAATATTCTCAAATATGCAAAAAAAACTTTTTTCTACGCATTAAGAATTGAACGAATCGTCCACATTTTTTACTCTCATAAGACTGCATAGACCCAGTAACGATATGTAAAAACATATAAATCCGGTCTTTAGTCATGATAAATATACATTTTATTAGGAATATTATCAAATAATATGTTAAGCGAATGTACCATAAGCAATAATTTAATACCATTTTTAATAGACATAAGGAAACATAAATATGTTTATGTGTTGTCAATTAAAAATATTGCAATCACATAAGAATTAAAATACACAGTATTCGGTTGTAAAAAATTAAGCTTTAATATAATAGCAAATTGTCCATGAAACAATGAACATATTTATAAATACATAAATAGGATTCAAATGTACTAAATTTACTATAAATTAAAAATATAGCCTAACATATCAAAATTGAATATAAAATCATAAAGCTGGAATTAAAATACATATCAGAGATAAGATACTTGGTTTTAAATCGAACTAATTATTTTCCAGTTTTTATTAAAGTAAAAATACTAAACACAATTTTTTAATTTTTTTTAAGTATAAGCCATTAATTTAGTTCATAACATTTACATTGTTTACGTTTAGATATTTTTATCTTTTTTAATTTGACTACCGAGAATATATAAATATTACATTAATAAAAATACTAGCTACAATAGATGTTTATTTAATCAATATTTATTTATGATTTCAAGGGTATTCAAAATAGTGGTTATCAATTTGGGGTGGACCAAAAATATAGTAATCAATTGATAAAATATATGCAGCAGTAAGTGGTAATAAAATAAAGGCTCTAATCCCTATCTCTTACACGATACAGCAAAAACTAGTCCATCAAGAATGAAAGTATATTTAAAATTGTATGCATATTACCAGAGATTTGTCTACTTGTTAACTGATATTATTACAGTAAACTAAGAAGATATTATACTTAGCCCCAAATTATAACTACAATATAAGGTACATTTATGATTTTATGGATGATACTTTAATATTTAGGTTATAAAAAAAAAATATTGTCTTCTTTATTATTTTAAAAAACTAAGATTTAGGCTACAAAATTATGATTGTTTATTTATTAAAGAACATAAATATTCCAGAGGTTTATAAATGGCGTGAAATATTTTTCATCATTATAATAATGTAAACAAATTATTGATGTGGCTGTTGTTTCATAGGTTTTTTCCATTTACATTTTTGAAAAATTCAACACCTGTAAAAAATTAAATCAAAATTGAAGTTTTTAAATAAAATAATTTAAAATATTTCTATTATTCATATGTAATTATTTATACTTGAATTAGAGTTCAACCATAGATAACTAATATCTTCACTAGAAGTTTAATTTATGAAATACAAATCAATATGTAATATTTGTATTAATTATTTAACAAGTTTATAAAAGATAAGACAATATAGTACAACTAAAATACTCAATAATTTATATCATATAACAAAATATTGTTTAAAATAATAAAACTTATTTGAACAATTACTGAGTTATCAATGCAATAATTTTAAGAGGACGGGTTGCCTGTCTTACAAGTGTATAACATAGACAATTTTGCGCTCAGCAGATCATATTTAGCTCTGTTAGTTAAAAAATTAAAATAAATTGACCTATTATAAAACCTAAAAGTAAGATTATTACCTGGGCAACCTCATGGGATTTTTATTATATTTTAAAGTGAGTATTTTCAGATGTACAAACAATTAAAAATTTTTAAATACTCATAACTCACTTAAAAATTAAAATACATTAAAAAGCATATGCGATTGCTTGGAAAATAATCAAATATAAAATGTGGAATAAGTCACAATCTAACTTTTAAACTAACAGATCTAAACATGATCTTCTGAGCACAAAATTTGCTGTTATACATTTTCAAGACGGAGACAACACATGGGTGTGCTATGTCCACTTAATAACAAATATTACAAATGAAATAAAAAGGTTTAAAAATAAATAATTATTAGTTTTTACCTATGATCTTGAACGACTGGCTGACTTTGAATGTCCTCTTGAACTTTTACTACCAGAACGTGAACGGGAACGTGATCTAGAATAAGAACGTGAACGACGGCCACGAGACCTGGACCTTGAGTATGAACGACGTCTAGGCGAACGAGACCTAAATAAATAGCATTAACATATGATTGAAGGTATAATAAATTCAGTTAAAATCAAGTAACATATAAAATGTTTATGTTTAAAAACACATTAAATTCCATCCAGTTGGGGTTTAATTTATTTTTCAATTAATATTAATAAGGATTAAACTATTAAAGCGCAATAAAAAGAAAAAAGGTGGGCATTGAAAAAATTAAAAATTAGCTATTTCCTAACCCTAAACAGAGTTGCCAGGATGACTCAGGATTGCTTTGTTTAGTTTTATTTATTTTTTTAATTCAGCAAACTGAAATCTGCAACTGGCACTCGGCTGATCAGCAGCTAGTCAGCACTCAGCATGCATCTGCTATTGGCAGGAACAACGCCCTCGCCTTCTACTGCGGTCAGCACGATTATTACACCTTAGCTCAGCCTCAGCCTCAGCCACAGCACTCAGCCGCCACTCCCCAATTACACCCCACACCTGAAAATAGTGTCGCTGCTATCAATGGGTTTTCAACAATGCTCAGTCTTTTAACAAAATAAGGTAATTTTTTTAATATTAAGTTGAAGTAAAGTATTAAGTAAAAATTTAATGTAGTTCATTAAGATAATGAATACTTAAAAATAGTGTTAACAAACAAAAACCAAGGGAAATTTAATTCTATAAAAAAAGTATATAATAAAAAATATAATAATATAATTTAATGTCTTGAATAAAAAATACCTAGGTATATAATATTTTTTACCATCTTCTAATAAGGTTGCTTGTCATACAAATATATTTATTTTTTATGTAAATTGAAAATGTACATCTTAATATGAAACAACAATTTTATATTAATATATATTTGATGGTTATTTAGTAAATTATAAGAATCTATAGAACTAATGTTTCTGTATATTATTTAACAGTTGAATATTTGTGTGTCAAGCAACGATAAAAGGGTTGATATGTAGTTGAATTAATGTAGATTAGATATTTCGGTTTGCTGCACACTTAGTTTTGAAGAAGCTGAATATTAAGCTGTAAAATTAAACAATTTATTTAATATATTTATCAGAATATTGTACCTCCTGCGTCGTCTTCTATATGGTGAAGTTGGACGTCCATAGCGAGCCATCTGAACACGTAATTCTCTACCATCTAGCATGCGACCATCCATTGCATCTAATGCATCTTCAGCATCACGTTTATCATAAAATCTGAAAGTAAAATATATGATTACAATTTACCAGCAAATTATTAGTTTGAAATTTCACAATGTTATTGGCAAGATTGTGCAAATCAGATAAGATCAAAGTTACGGATCACAGCGTATAATTATATCACCACCAAGGGGAACATCAACCCGACAAGCAGGGAAGCTCTACCAGTGGTGGTGAATATTAATCTGTATCGAGCTCAATGCAGGTTTTATAATCATTTTTGCACAATCGATCAGATGTGGTCACGCGCACATTTCTGGCGGTATTATACACAATACACCACACTACCAATGCTAAGCAAGTGTCGTACGTACCTGACAAAAGCGAACCCTCTGCTCTCTCGCGTAAACCGATCGCGGGGAATGTAGATGTCTCCGACTTCTCCACACCTCTCGAACACTCTCCTCAGGTCTTCGGGCGTCGTCCTGTAAGTGAGGTTGTCGACTTTCAGGGATACCATACCCTCAATCCGCGGCGGCGGTCTGCTGTAGCTCATCGTGAATGTACTGCGTTCGCTACAACTGGCCCTTCCCGAGCACCGAAATCCACTTTGTTACGCGCAAAATGTCGAGCGATAGCGTTTACCACATTACAACAATAACGATTGCAGAAATTGTACAGATCACACGATCGTAAAATAAAAAAAAAGAGGACCGGTGACCGCGCGGATACAGCGACCGTGAAAATGGCGGACAGTAATAGTAGTAATACAGTATTCACTGGTCGGCGGTCGTTAGTCGTTACGCACTACGCAGATAGGCAGGACGGGTCTCGGCCGGCCACCGGGGAAGGGTGAGTCATGGATCATGGAGCAAGCACTAAGCGGTTATGCACAACACTCGTGGAACTGTAAATTTTGAACGCGTCGTTTTGCAGTGCAGCCAACATAACTAACAATAACACGGTTCTGTGGTTACAATATTTGGTTATATGGTTATTGTTCTATGGTCATATCTTAAATCGGGCTTACCATATTCGATCTCAATCATATCATAATACATGACAAAATAGATAGGTATGCTATCAACATAACTAATATTAAACGAGAACGCGCACCCCTCCCGCACTTCATCTGGAACTGTGACGTAAGCCGTTCTCCTGATTTCATTGGCCTGTATTTTCCCGCTTTTTTTGTGTCCAGTGTAAAACAGTTGTAGAATCCTAGTTCCTATACAAACGTACACTGTACAGTTGTAGAATATGACAAAATAGATATAATGATATTGTAAAGAGTGAATTTGTATTATCCTATTGTACATATTTTGTTCTATTACTATAACATTGTATAATGTATAATTAATTATACTTTTATATTTGTATCTATGTTATTAATAATGTCATATATGTATTATAAAAATGTAATTTATATATTATGTATAAATAATAAATATTAAATATACTTAGATTCTTGTATTTATATAATCAATATTATATCAATTAATAATACAATATACATACAAATATAATTAATATTATTTGATTAGGTAGCTTATAAATTATAATTTGTGATTGATACAATGATATATCAAAATATGTAGACTGTGGTTTTAATAAAAACATATTTTCTTATTCTTATTTAGTGTATTTTTTCAATTACCTGTCCATTTTCCTATGAAATGTATATTTACTTGATTTTCTTTTGAGTTATAATAAATTATAATTATTAATTTAAAACTAAACTGCACGAAATGCCTGTGTGTGTGTTCCCGAATTGTGACAGCGGCTCTCGTAAACAAGGAATACAGAGTAATCCTAACGTTCATTTACATAGGTTTCCAAAAAATGAGGATATTAGAAATAAGTGGTTAATGCAAATTGGTTCTAATATTGATGGAAAATGCATTAATTTAAATAGTGGTATAAATTATAAATTATCTATAAATTTACAAAGTTATAATAATAATATTTTCAGCTGTAGTATGTTCACTTCATTTTGCACCATATCATTTTGAAAAGCCTTTAATACAAAAAATGTTAAACTATTCACCACGAGCTGGTAGAAAGCTTACACCTCATGCTATACCTCTAAGGTAAACTATTTTAACTAAAATATCATCCCATAAAATTATCTTATGTAGGTATATAATATAATATTTTCATAACTATTAGTTATGTATAAAGACCGGATTTATATTCTCTTAAAATACCTAAAATAAGATGTTAATATTCTCTAAAAAACCTTTAACTATTCTCATTATATTCTCTTAGAAATTTAAAATATGCAAAATATGCAAATTTTAATAGTGAGGCATTAATTATGTATTAAAAGCTGCCTATTCTATTGGAATACAATTGCACTTTAGTAAGTTTGAAATGATAAAAAAAAAAAAATTGTAAATGTTCAAATAATTTTTTTCTGGGTACCGTAATATTAAAATTAAAAATAAATATACATTTTTTCTTACAATTTACCAAATATTTCAAAATATGCTAAATGGGATAAATTCTCTCTAACCCATGAAATATTCTGAAATATGCAAAAATAAGTTTTTTATACACATTCATAATTGAACGAATCGTCTACATTTTTTACTTTCATAAGACTGCATACACCTGGTATTGATATGTAAAAACATATAAATCCGGTCTTTAGTTATTTATTATTTATTTTAATTTTCTATATACATTGTATAGCACTTTGGGTTTTGATTATGACGATGTGCCATATTTAAGAAAGGAAGAAATATGTATAAAAACTCCAACTAACACTAGTGCATTCATGAATTCAGATAATTCCACCCGGTATGAATTGTAGAAACCATAATACAACATGAATTAAATAGTAATAACCTTGAATGTACTTTAACTATTAACTTTGTAGCACTGATTTTGAGGATAGTATTAATTTGCCACACATTAAAACCCCCAGTGGAATATTTTCTGTTGAAAAAATTAACGATTTTGAGGATAGTATTGATTTGTCACCCATTAAAACTCCCAGTGGAATATTTTCTGTTGAAAAAGTGAACAATTTGGGAAACACTCTAACTGACATCAGAAAATATTGTATTAGGTATGTAATATAATACAATAATTAATAACTCTTAATTTTAGCCAATATTTTATTCTTATAATGCAATATTGTTTATTTGATTTATGAATTCTTAGTGATGACAAATTATTGAAAAAAGACTGTAGGGTAAAATTATTTTCGAATACAAAGTCTGATCTATCAGGAATACAGCCATTGGATGATGCAATACACAATTATGAATTGCTACAAAAGTAATTATACAAATATTTTATTAACTCTTCTTATCTTTGTGCTTTTTCCATGTACGTCTAATGACACATTGAAAAGGTCTTGTAGAAATTTCTCGGCCAGCAGTAACACCTTCGATAAATACAAACACAACCCAACCTATATGACCAGCTTCTAATGAAACTCTGTATGGGACAAAACAAATAATATTTTAGCAAAATGTTATGTATAATATTTTATTTCTCTTTCCATTATTTTACAATTTTCAAAACCATTATCAATACTAACCTAGTTCAAATTTGTTCTCAATGCCAATGATTTTCTTTGCACCAATGGAGTTAAATTTATAACCTATGATCACTGACAACCCTACTACTCCTAAGTCCAAAGCTAACCTAATCTTGGATAATATTGCCAATAGATAGATAAGTAATTAAATAATTACTATTTTATATTAAATTATTTATTGTTTTTAGATTGAAAAATGAGAATGAACAATTAGTTTTAGAAAATAATAAACTTAAAACTATTGTTTCATCACAAAACACAAAAATGAGATCATTTAATGATTTCATTAATTTAGAAAATTATAGATTTGAAAATAGATTTAATAATATATTAAATAAATTGTTGAGTCCTACTCAAATCAAATTGTTACTTCATCCAAAAAATAAAGTTTACTCGTGGAAACCAGAGGATATATCGTCAGCAATAACACTAAGGAGTATTTCTCCTAAAGCGTATCGCTATTTGAGAAATGAAAAGCAATTTCCATTACCAGGTTAAAATAATATGTCTATTATACATTTGTCCCAAGTAGTTAAATCATCAAATTAATTTTAGGTTTATCCACATTGAGAAAATGGGCCTCAACATTTCCTGTCCAACATGGAATACTCTCAAGTGTGATTACTTTAATGAACGCAAAAGGTATACACAAAAGTAATTAAAATTCCTTCGTACAGAAATTAATATTATATTATATGTGTATTAAGGATCCTTAATGTCAAAGACTGACAAATTCACCGTTCTTTCTTTCGATGAAACATATGTGTCCAAAAGAATATGTTATGATAAGGCATATGAACAGATTATAGGTCCTCATAAATGTGTACAAACAGTAATGGCTAGAGGTGAAGCAGTTGAAAAATCTAATAATTAAAAAAAATAATAACAAATTAGTATATAGTATAATATACATAATTTATTTTGTGAATAGGTTTATTAAGTAATTGGAAACAAGTGATCTACTATAATTTTGATACACATATGAGCAGAGACATTCTAAACTCCATAATTGAAGAGCTACATAAAATTGGGTTTAACGTACTTTCCATAGTCAATGACATGGGTTCTGCAAATATGGGCTTATGGCGAAGTTTAAATATATCAATCACCAACACTTCATTCCCACATCCTATAACAAACAAAAATATTTATGTATTTGCAGACGTACCACATTTAATTAAGTTAGCAAGAAATCATTTACTTGATCAGTAAGTAGATTTACCTTGTACTATATTAAAATTAAATTCATAATTCCAATATATTTACCAAACTTTTAGAGGTTTTATTCTTCCCAATGGAAAATATATAGGAAAAAACATGTTTCAAGAATTGGTGGATTTAAATAATGTGGATTTTAGAATGGCACATAAATTGACACAACACCATATTTCAGTCGAGGGAACAGGCAGAATGAATGTCAGATTAGCTGTTCAACTTTTTTCCAATACTGTTGCTAAAGCTCTATTACATTGCGAAGAAAATAATTATATAAAAATCAACAACTTAAAGGATGTAAGTACTGTTTATTTAAATCATTATGCAACAAACCTTTGATTTAATTTCTTAACATTTAATCTTAAGAGGATGTTAGCACACTATTTGTTTTCTCTCTCTGACTCATGCGCATAATACAGAAAATGTTATGTTCACAATAGTGATTATAATCATATAATTAATTTCTCAAATGAGAGTGAAATTAATATGATTAAGACTGTGCTGACATCCTCTTAAGAATTTAGTAAGCTAATAAAAAATATTTAAAAATAAAAACAATGTAATCATTTGTAAAAACAGGCCTCTGAAACTATTTCATTGTTTAATGATTGGTTTGACCTATTCAACACCCAACACAAATTTGATAATGGTGTAGCAAGTTATGGTCTTGATGAAATAAATCAGAATAAATTAATTGATAAAATGAGTGAATTTATATTTAATATGAGGGTTCACGGGAAAAAATCCCTACTTCCATTCCAAAGAGGTAGGTTGATTATATTTCAACATTATTATTTATTACTTGTTTAGAGAACAGTAAAATTAAAAATAAAATTAAATATGTATTAGGCATATTGATAAGCAACAAATCCGTCAAAGGTTTACTGGATGAACTCAAACATGAAAAATGTTCATTTATTTTAACCAGGAAGGTCAACCAAGACGGTTTGGAAAATTTTTATAGTTTTTTAAAGGGAATGGTGGGATCAGCAAGCAATAAGATGACAGTCCTAGATTTCAAATATTGGTAAATACTTGAAATTATGAATTACCTACTATATTTATGAATTATGAGATTATTTAAATTGTTATTAAATTAGATATTTAACAATTCAAATATTTTTACCATTCAGTACTACTCATTTCATTTCAGTTTACGATGGAGTATTTTAGGTAAAAATTCCAATTTTATTTTTACCGAGAATACAAATACAGAAGTTGGACTTGAACCAAACATTTTAGATGAGACAATTTGCTTGACTAGTAAGATAATCAAAGAGTCAAAGTTATTGCCATCTCAAGATTTTGCAGAATATCACGATGTTGAGTTGGCAAATCTTGAAACAGAATTTGGTATGGCGTCCACAACAGTTCCACAGCAAAGTTTGGATCTTTTAAAGCAATTTGAAGTATATATAATATATTGTATTAATAAAAATAATTTACATGTTGTAAACTGATTACTTACAAATTGTATTCTTCTTTTTTGAATCATGAAGGTTGAAAATTATGAGCCATTTGGACAATTGGAGGAAGAATGTGCTCAGTATGTCGCTGGATATGTTGCTTCTAGGTTTTGTCATAAATACCCAGATTTAATTGACGAAACAGGTGAAAACGATGCTGGTTGGATAAAGCAATTGTCAAAAGGCAACCTGAAGATTCCTTCTACAAAAATGATGAAAGCTGTAAAAATTTTAGAAATAGCTTTCATAAATTTCCATGGTGATGATTTGGTTAAGACACCTTGGGTTATGAAAACTTTAACAGACATAGTATTACCAGAAATTAATTACCTGAATATACCTCGTGAAGTTGTTAATTGTCTTGTACGAACCAGGACATTTGTAAGAATGAACAACTTAAACAAAAATGTAATGGAAAAACAGTTACATACTAACCGAATTAAAAAGTTAAAATTTACAAATTAAACAAGTACCTACCTATTTATTTTCCAAAATAAATTGTTTAATATATATATTTTACTTCCTATTTTGTCATCCTGCGAATTATTTAACATTTCAAACTCAAACAGATTGATTTTTTAGTACATATAATAATATTGAGATTTGAGAATAAGACGTAAGTAGTAAGTACCATGGTCCATGACATACTAACATCATCATTCATCACTCATCTGCGAACCGGCAGAAATAATAATAAAAATAATAATAATAATAATAATATCGGAGAACGAATGACGTCATTTTTGTGGAGGGAGAACCAGAGTATTGCGTATCACAAAGTTGATAGCATACCTATCTATTTTGTCATGTCATAATATATAAAACCGCGTTCTTGATAATTGGACGCACATAATATATTATTACAGAATACAGACAATAGACATTATTATTTTACATTGAACATTTGAATATATTATTTTAAAAAGTGAAGAGTCACTCAAGGTTTTTAGATTATTGTCTAAATATTAAAAATATTAAAGAATATTTAAAGAATCTAAAAACCTTGCGAGTCACCAACATTGATTGATGGGTAGTTTGAAAAAAAATCCATTTGCTTTATACTGGGGATTGACTAAATAGTAATTATAAATAATTAAAAAAATAATTTATAAATTATATTTTGGAAATAAATGTAATATTGTACCTAGGTATATTATGTTAAAAATTGTCTAAAAATACTATATTATATTACCATCTAAGAAAAAAAAGTCACCGGAATAAAAACCACCGGAAAGAAATCCCCAAAGGCCAAAGCTGTACCGTTTGGTACCTACAGCTGTCAAAAATGATAGTTAGGTAATAATAATAAAAATATAGAAAATTTGAATGATAATTAATAATTATTATATTATTATAATATTGATAAATGGTAATCGGAAAAAAAATCCCCAGCTACAATATTACTCACAATCACATGCAAATGGTTGAACAAATATATTTTGAACTTTAATATTTTTAAAATTAATCGTATTCCTGTTTATGAATCCTTATATCTTAAATTATTTTTTAACTAATGTTTTAATATGTAATATTATAGGTACTACAATTATCAATTTTATAATAAAAGTCATAACTATTAACATTATCCAGACGAAAAAAGTAATAATACCTCAATTATTTATATTTGGTTGGATGTAATTTCGACCACTATATAAGTAAGAGTAACAAATTTGTTTAGATTTTGCAGTAAAATTAAAGTATCTATTAATAGTCAATCATATTATACAGGCCTATAGCACACCCCAGAAATTATTTCTATATACACCACTGCCGTCCACTGGAGTGAATTGACTTCTTATACAATTTAAAGTCAAGATTATTATCTAGGCAATATCATAGACTTATATTATATTCTAATTTAAAGTGAGTTATGAGTAAATATTTTATGATGTACAATACTACAATATTGTATATAAATATTTGCTTTAGGGATTTTGGATTTTTGATTTGGGGACCATTAGGTATACTACGGTTAAGATGGGAGGATCGTATCATAAAAGATGTTGAGGCAGTAGAAGGTAGAACTAAACAGGGTTTTTTTTTAGAGTGCAGTGAAACACATTTTGTGCAGTGGGAAGAGTAATTGAGCAGTGAAAATTGTTACTTTGTGCTGTGCAAAAAAAGAATTTCAGGATGATATATTTTATTTTTTATTATAAAACAATAATTGTGTAAATTTCAAAATAAAAAAAAAAAATGTTTATTAAAATTTAAAATTGTTTATATTATTCATTATTATTTATTATAAAACAATAATAAACAAAAAAAAACAAAAATAAAAAAAATATCTACCCCCTTTAAGCATATGCTTGTGGTGGTGGTAGAGACTAGAGCAGTGGCGTATTTACGGGGGGGGGTCCATGGGGGTCCCCCCCCCCATTGACTCGTGTCTCGTACATGTTAAATGTTGTGCAGTTTTTACATGATTAAAAAACAAATTTTATCATACGATTTTACGGATTTTATAAAAAATTTTCGAAGCTATAGTTAGGTATGTCAACATTTTCAATAAATATCGTGATTATTTTTATCAGTTGGGTACCGAAAATGGTTGAAAAATACCAAATTCATTTTTTAATTCAAATATTTTGAAGTTTTGTAAATTGCCAGTATCTACAACCACTCTAGAGAGATCTTTTTCAACCTTTTTAAGGTTGAAAAGCTATCTAAGATCAACTTTGAATGAAGTAGGTAAATAATGTAATTAAGGAAATATTTGTAAAAAAGTTATAACATGTAACTATATATTCGATTCTGAGAGATCTATTGGTTATACAATGGTGTTTATTTTTTTTTCCTGTATACAAAATTTCTTCCAGAAGGAGTGCTTCTATTTCAACATGTATAGACATATAGTAACTTATCTTTTAGAAAATTGTATCAAGATAGTACTTTAGAGAGGTCATTTTTCGATATTCTCAATAGTTATTAAATGCCACTGTAAAAACCACCAAAAAATTACGAAAAACCGCTAAAAATGGGATTTTAATTTCTAACACTTTGTATATCACCATAGAAAAAAATAAAAAATAAAAGTATTTCATTATTAATTCAACTTACAGGCTATAATAAATAATAACAATATAAAATATTCAAACTGACAAACCGTCTTCGCTCAGAATCGTTTTTCTTATACAATGATACAGGCCCTATTATTTGTAAAATTTCGGACTGCACGTTTCATTTTATTCTCGCTACCATCTTAGCAAAAGGAATGTATTACATAATACATATTACATATATAATATATATATATTATATACCATATGTATACAATAATTTAACAATGCAATTCAATAAAACAACAAAATACTTATCTTTAATAAAAATCATAAAAATTAAATAGCATAATATAATAATAAAAACCTTAACTTAACTTTTTAATAATTAAAATCATAACAATGCATATTACTTTCTTGATTTTTCATCAAGTAAGTATAGTAATTGAAATTAAAAAGTCTGAACTTTGAAAACTTCAAGAATTTGTGTTAAATAGGAAAATAATAAAAATGTAACTCAGTAATGATGAACAGGTGGGTAATTTAGCTAGCTTTAATATAAAATATTAATAAGAGAGATTTTATATCACACCCAAGCGGTATACCCAATTTGAATCGATAAAAACATTCGCGTGAACAGTCCCAAAATTTCTATTTTTTAACTTTTATCCTAAACTATGATACCTAGCTAGAAATTTGGTTGATAACTCATTAAACAGGGATTATCAGGTAGACACTAAATATGGAATTAATTTTTTTTTTTTTAAATTATTTAATTTTTCACAGATAAAAAAAAAAAAGAGTTATTTTCTCTAGTTTTTCATTTAGAGATGTAGATCTCCGAAACTGGAGAACGGATTTTGTTGTTTGGGGTCTTGTTAAATTCACATTTGCTAGGATAATTGCAGTGAAGATTTTCAGAACTTTATCTAAAATCGTTAATTCATTACAAAGCTGTAAAGATGAAAAACATCAAAAAACGCCCAATAAAATTTGTTTTAATTTATTTTAATGTTCTGTAGTGAATTAACTATTAAAGATAAAGTTCTGCAAATCTTCACTGTTCTTCTCCTAACCAATGTGAATCTAACAAGACCAAAATCAACGAAATCCGCTGTCCGGTTTCGGAGATCTATCTCACTAAATGAAAATGAAAATGATTTTTTGTGGGGCTGTTCACGCCGAAATTTTTCTGGATTCATATTGTTTGACCGCTTGGGTGTGATTAAATCAGTTAAAAAATTTCTAAAAATTCAAAATCAAGAAAGTTTACATGCCGATCCCTGACTTGGCAATTTTTGTTTTGTAGACCGTAGTGCACACACGTTAAAAACGTAGTGCACACTTGTATATTCGTAGTGCACATTGTGTGTCGTGGTGCACATAAAAATAGGGCCTGCAATGATATTATGATATTATATCATTGAGTTCAAGTTTAATACAATCCATTATACATTGACCCACTTGGCCACTTGTAACCTACTGTACAGCAGCAGAGTGACATCCACTTACCCGCTTTTTTTTTAAATTTGTTTTGTACATATTATTATTTAATAATTAAAAACTCGACAATTTTATATCGTCTAATAAATATGGTATATTTTATTTAATAAAGAGTAAATGGGTGGTGTGGGGGGGGGGTTTCGTCCCCCGTGGCTCTGTGTTCTGAAAATTATCTGGACCCTCCCCATTTTTTTGGGGACAAATTCCTAAATACGCCACTGGACTAGAGAGTTATATAACATAATATGAACAATTTAATTATAAATAAGAAAAGCAGGCGAGAACTGATTCAACTGAATAATCAATCTATACAATTAGAATACTTATAACTAATATTAAATTACAATAGTTAAATATAATTCTTTATAATTTATTCAAGTATTGAAAATAACCAAATCTGAATTTTTTTTCATTTCTATAGTTGTACGATTCTCCCTTCTGTATAGAATATGTCCCTTTTAGATTCTGAGCGGACTGAGGAAGCTAGTGGTTTTACAATGGTATTTATTTTTTATTTTTATTTTTTTTTTTATATCCTGTATACAAAATTTTTACCAGAAGGAGTACTTCGATTTCAACATATACCTTATGTCCTTATATTTTAGAAAATTGGATTAAGATGGTACTTTAGAGATATCATTTTTCGATTTTATCAATAGTTATTTAATGCCACGGGAAAAACCACCGAAAAATTACGAAAAACCTCTAAAAATGGTATTTTAACTTCTAATGCTTTGTGTATCAGTATCACCATAGAAACGAATAAAAAATAATAATAATATAAAATTAATTCAACTTACATGATAAAATAAATAATAACAATATAAAATATCCAGACTGACAAACCGTCTCCACTCAGAATCGTTTTTCTTATACAATGATTTTATAAGTACCTATATCATTGAATTCAAGTTTAATACAATCTATTATACAATGACCCACTTGCAAAATACTGTACAGCAGAGCGACATCCACTTACCCATTTTTTATATTTACTGGCATTAAGTTGTAGTTTTTTGGACCTAGATAATCTATGAATTTTTGACCAAACGCTTTTCTAGAATACTCCATTCTGACATCAAATACCCTATTTTCTCTTGTAATTATTACCTTTTTCATATCCAGAAAGGATTCAAATTTTTTAATTATATATATACAATAGTTTTTTTTTATATACAGACTCAAATGATAACACATCTAATAACTTAAAGTTTTCTTTAGTTGAAGTTGTAGTAGTCTTGACGCATTTTGATTCAGTCAAAATTATCATTTTGACCATTATTTTATGTAAAAGTATATTACAAAAAAGGTGGGCAAGTGGGTGTCGCTCTGCTGTACAGTAGGTTACAAGTGGGTCACTGTATAATGGATGGTATTAAATTTGAATTCAATGATATAATATCATTGTATAAGAAAAACGATTCTGAGCGGTGATGGTATGTCAGTCTATGTATAAGGCATATTATATACATATCTATGGTATTAAACAAAAAATTGACCTATAATAGGTACCTATAATAAATTCCAAATTAATCATATCACAATATCCATTAGATACTTATAACGCGTTATACATCAACAAAAACCGTGATACTATCATAGATATATAATAGTACACTTTAGAAGTTTCAAGTACCCACGAATAGTATTATTCAATCACAACAAAATAACTAAAATCGTAATTCTTGGTTTAAATATGAAATTTTGTCTAAATTTGAAATTAAAATGTCTGTAAAAAATAAGTGTGTTTATATATTTTTTAGATTTTTTGGTTACAGTATGAATTATTTAAGAGAATCTTTGTTTTAAATTTTCAACTCTTAGTTATAAAAACTGAACATTTTATAATTTTTTAATTCCAACGATTGATAATTTTCGAGATTTTGATAAATTTTGTCAAAATTCCAACTTTAAATGCTTATAAAAAAAAATCGTGCCTATGTATTTTTAATATTTTTCAACTGATATTGTAACAATATATCAGGAGCCTTGTATTAAATTTTTACACTTTTTGGCCCAACAGATAAAACTTTATTGATATTTATAGAAAAAAAAACTAAAAAAAATTGAAAGCTGTAAATGTCCATAAACAGCTCAAAAAGAGTCAAAATATTTTCAAAATTGTATGGTGTATAGGAAATGCTAATATAAACATTCAGTGAAATTTTCATGTATCTACAGTTATTCGTTTTTGAATTACAACAAAATAAGGAAATCGCTACATGAGAAATCGAGTGAAAATCCAATGTTGTAAAAATTTGAATTTCAAACGCTCATAAAAATTTAATTTAACTGTCCGGTAGAGATTTTTTTATTGATAAAGGTAGATAATCTTATAAGGAATCTTGTGTTTCATTTTCAAATCTTAGATTTAAAAAGAAAAATTTTTACGAATTCTTAACTCAAAATAATTTGCTAATTTTCGTGATTTTTCCATATTTTGTCAATTTTTGAACTTTAAATGCTTATAAAAAAAAATTGTGACTAAGGATTTTTAATATTTTTCATCTGCCTTTGAAACAACATATTAGGAGCCTTCTATTAAATTTTCAAGCTTTCGCAACCAACAAATAAAATTTTATTGATATTTTAAGAAAAAAAACTAAAAAAAAATGGAAAATGAAAATGTCCCTAAACAGTTCAAAATAAATCAAAATATTTTGAAAATGTTATCGTGTATAGAAAATGCAAATATTAACAACCAGTGAAATTTTCATGTATATACGTTCATTTGTTTTAGAGTTACACCAATAACCAAAATCGATTTTTTGGAAAACCAATTTTGCGTAAAAATTCCCGTTTTTCCTTAATTTTTGTGTTGTTTTTCCCGGCGCTTGTGAAAACTACTGCGAAATTTATACTTTTGACCCCCCAAAGTACCAACTAGATTCACTTTCCTATCAGAAAAGCTACTGATGAAGAAAATCCAAGCACTTTTACTGTCCTAAAACGTGATGACAGACACAAAAATATAAATAAAAATATATATAAAAATATAAATAAAAATATAAAAACATACATCATTGTAAAACCAATACATTCATCGCTCCGCTCAGAATCTAAAATATAAAAATATAAAAATATAAAAATATAAAAACATACATCATTGTAAAACCAATACATTCATCGCTCCGCTCAGAATCTAAAATTATAAAGAAATTAGGTAGGTACCTAGTTCATTGATTGTTTTTATTTTTATAAACAATTATTATTACAAATTACCTATTTCAAGTAAAAATTACTTCTTAAGTAATATTACTTATATTAACAAACAAAGTTTTAAAATTATTATTTACAAATTTACAATAATAATAGTGCATTAGTGTAAAATAATTTATTTGGTAGATATATCAGGAGGGTCGGGATTTATATGTTTTAACATATTGTTTCTGAGTACCTATATGCAGTCTTATAAAAGTAAAAAATTTAGATAGTACAGACAGTACCTACAGTATACAGTAGACAGTACTACACTACTACAGTAGGTTAGTAGGTAGGTACTAAGTAGTAGTTCACAGGGACGGCTCCAGAGACATGATAAGGAGGTTACCAAGTCATAATTTTTTTTGTAAATTTGTTTTTAACAGTATACAATTGTTTAGAAATACAGCTTTGGGGGAGAGTCCTAGGGCTCCCTGGATCCACCCCTGACAGTTCAACGGATAACAGTCAGTAGGGTTTGGTCTGCGTAAACGAATTCCCTACTATAACCCAAGAGTGGGAATAAGTTTGTGCAGATAGAAAATAACATTAAAAAAAACCCTGGGACTAAATGTACAATGGAGAGAAGTTGCATGAGATAGAGATAGATGGTGGAAAATCTGTTTGCAAATTGCAGGGATGGTTTTGAAGGCCGTTACACACAAGAAGAAGATTATTGATTTTATTTCCGGGAATTTTTTTTCCGTAAAATTATATATCATTAATTAAACAATTACGACAGTAACACTATTAAACAATATCAATCTCTTAATGCTATAGCGTGAACAATATTTAAAATTGAGGATTGTATGTATTTTTGTATGTTGTATCTATTATTTTTTTTTTTTATATATATAACCAATACCTTAGCAACCATTTATAAACAATTATTTCTACCGTAAATTATCAAAATCCCTGTTTGAGCACTTCTTTTATTTTTTTCTGGACAACCCTTATCACTTAGGGGTATGAAAAATAGATGTTAGCCGATTCTCATACCTACTGAATATGCACAAAAAATTTCATCAAAATCTGTCAAGCCATTTCGGAGGAGTATGGCAACGAAAACTGTGACACGAGAATATTATATATTAGATTGAAATTGTATTACAAATTTATTATGACTAAAAAAATTGACTGTTTTTTTTAAAAAATTATTCATAGACTGAAATCTCGTGAATATAATATACCTATATGTTAGGTACTACTACCCTGACACACGTCACACATCATTTTCATTAGGTACAGCCGGTACGTACAGGGTTATTTTTTCATGAAAAATACGTACGTACGACATAGCACATTTCCATTCACTAGTTTATATTTATTAAACTATACTAAAAAAAAACAAAAAGGTATACTATATGTCTATATTACTAGGTATACTATACTATATTAGACTGAATTTACCTATAAATTGTATATTTGTATGTAAGAACATTATCTGTGCTTAAGCGTCAGAAAATTTTCAATAGATATTTTTCAAGCAAGATATAGGTGGGTATGTGAAATATTACAAACTTAAAATACCTACTCATATATAGTCATATCTTGCTTGAAAATTAAAATTACCTATTGAAAAAAACGCCGACGCTTAACTAACTGTTTCACTAACATATTATTTTTAATATGTATTCCCAATTAAGTTAGTTAATTGAGTAAAATAAATGATACTGGGGAGTTTTTTCCTCCTTTCGAATGATGTGAGCTGCATGCGTGAGGGTGAGGCATACCGTCGCAAATTTAGCTGTTGGTCGCTGGAGTGCTGGACCACAGAAGATAGAACCAGTGGTGTGACCACTGACCAGGATTTTGTTTTTAAAAAAACAAGGTTAAAAAATTAAGAAAGTAAATTGTCGTTTGAACCCCATGAAATAACGTTGAATGAACACGGCCATCTCTATATTTATACTCTATGAATGAACATGAATGTTCCATAATCTATGATGCTATTTTTCTATGACATTTTTGGTTTGGGAAGCCCTGACTAGAGCTTGATAACACGATATTAGATAAATGCATACAATAATATTATTATTATTAACCTTGATAGTACCTATTAATATATTATACGGCTTTGAACCGCGAATTGTAATAAACTAACGACTTATTACTTAACTATATTTTCATTTTTATAATATTATAATATTAGTATAGAGTATTGATCGACCTGCCCGCCACCGTATGGCGTATGAAAGTTGTGTACATAGTACCGTGAAAAAATTAGTATAATAGATTAATGATTTTATCATGCACTGTATAGCTATTAGCTGTGCTCAATAATCGCTATCCGCTGGCTGCAGCCAGACGTGATTCGTGTTTGTATAATTGTATAATTTAAAGTTTGTTTACTTTGCTAAACACCGTCTACTCGTTAACGACGAAATCACTACTCTTGACGACGCAGTGGGTGATGTGCAAAATGGAAACAGCAACGATGACATTTACGGACGTGACCCATGACCGCCATAAATTGAAACAACCGACCAAAGTGCTGTTGACGCTAAGCAACGTATTGTTGCCCAAGGAGAAGCTCACGTCCACACCGTCAATGATCGACGGGTTGGATTTCGAGACCGAAGTCGACCTAAGGATCGTAGGCTGCGAGTGGATTCAGACCGCTGGCATACTGCTCAAACTACCCCAGGTGAAACTTTTAGCTCTTTTTTGTCACCGTATCTACATATCAATAATATCATATACATACATATTACTTATTTACAGACTTATCTATAGTTTGATTTATCCCATTTGATTTATGAATATTATTCATTTTAAAAATGTTCGACTTTTGAATATTTTGAATGTAAAAATAAATTCTTCATTATCTATGCATTTATGTGCACCAAATCACCTACTGTTGTTTATCAATAGATTATAATTATGTATGAAAAAACACTGTTAATTACAACAATATTTCAATAGTAGTATATAATTTCTGACTATACTCTGTTGCTGTTCCACAAGAGATCATGCGGTGCACCGACCAAAACTGGTTCCCCTACGCCACACCCTGTCCTTGGGGAACCAGTTTTGATAGCAGGGTGACGGAGGGGGATGCGCAGAACCGGCATGATCTCTCATGGAACAGAGTATAGGCTATAATATGTTCGTAACAATGACATAATCATTGTCGAGCCTTAATGTGTGACTTTGGTGTGCTCTTATTGCGATGAAATATTATAGAATATCTTAGGAACATAATGACAGAATTGACTCATTAGTTGAGTTTTGATTTTGTCACTCTTTAAAACTAGCACATAAAACTGTTTTAATAAATCTATAAAAAGCAATTATTAGATACACCTACCAACTAATTTATTTTTTCAAATTTATTTACTGTGACCAGTACCTAATGTCGAAGTCAATTTTTTCTTGTATGACAATTATTCATAATTCAACAGTAGATCTCCATCACCAATTTAATCAACACTGATTCAAGGAGGGTTTCGACACTCTCGGCTCATCTTAGACCCTTCTAATCAAAAATATTATCAAAAAAACAATGATTAATATTTTCTACTTTTTTTTTGGTACCAATTTTTTTTTCTACTTTTTTTTTACCTTTTTTTATCGTCAATCTGAGTCAAATAACATGTAACACCCCACCATCAACTGACCTTACGTCAGCTGTCTTCTATAAATGGTTTTCTGGACCTCTAAAATATATTTCAAATCATCCAGACCCTTTAGAAAAAAATTGTAAAATCCTGGTCCAGTATGTCAGGTTTATTTTTTTTTCATTTAAATAAAGTAGTATATATGATCTGTAAAATGTTAAATACAATAAGTAAATTTAATAACTTAAGATTAATAACAACATGAAAATCATGTAAAGAGGAGGGCCCACCATTGTGGAAACTCTCTGACAAGGGGGGGGGGTCTGGTCTATTTATGAAAAATAAAAATTTTAGATGCCCACCTAGTTCTTATAATATTTGAAATTGTATTTTATTATATTATAATCATGTTAGTATATTCAATGTTGTAGGCTTGTTGTTGTTTTGTATCAGGGTTAGTCCCAGTTATAAAACCCACTAAAAAACCCAGTAAAAAAAAACAACAAACACAAAAATTAACAAACTTTAAACTGCATATTTATTTTTATTACTATTTAGTAACAATAAAGACAAAAATTTGTAAGCAAAAACATTAAATATTATAATTTTACTTTTCTCAATTATAATTAATTGTAAAGTTTTAAAGTTTTAAACTCACAACAATAAACAATACAAATTAAGAAATAATAATAATATAACAACTTAAAAGCACTTTTAATGTTTACTGGTGAATAGTAATAAACAAATTAACTGTATAATTTTATGTAGGTACTAGGCTTACCAAAACTTTTTATATTTCTATAGTTTCTTAATATACTTATATATTACTTATATAGTTATATATGTTACTTATATAATAGTTATAACTTATCACATCAAAAAAATTCCTGCTAAATTTTAGTAAATTATTGTAGCGCCATAGAAAAGTTAATAATTTAAAACCATATTTATTAACGGTCACCGGCAGTCATGTGGCATGGTAGTGATGATAGACTATGGGCGCTAGCAGTCACAAAAGTTTACAATTTGAGAATTACAGATTAACGCCTGCGGTCACATGGTCAACCTGTTAATTATATTTCCCGATATATTCAGATATGTCCTAGTAAATGTGTGACGTGTCATGCGTGCTTAACCATTGAATTGTTATCTGAATTATTTGTAATATGATTTTTATTTCTCAGGTTGCAATGGCCACTGGACAAGTGTTGTTTCAACGATTTTACTACACAAAATCTTTTGTTCGCCACCCAATGGAAATAACTGCAATGGCATGCACATGTTTGGCCTCTAAAGTTGAGGAATCACCACGACGTATTCGTGATGTTATTAATGTTTATCATCATATCCGTCAAGTATTAAATCAAAAGTAAGTTTAGGTGGTTTTATTTTTGATATTGTTAATATAAATATATATATATATATTTTTTTAATCATATTTAAATATTTTTAATCACAACTGACTAATCTGTTAGAGTATGTTTCCGTCTTGAAGACTAGATCTCTCTCTCTCTCTGTAATCTTCATGGTTTCCATATTTAAATTATACATTTTGACTTGAACCTTTATTAACAATGTTTCAAAGGTATTTAACCCTGGGATACACGCTTCACTGTCAATTTATATTTAAATTTTAAGAGCAAAAAAAATATTTAAATTTATAAAGTTTAGTTAAAATATTTCAATCTACGATAAAAAAAAACACTATAACAATTATAATTTTTTTATGATGCATGTTATCTAGGGTTAAATTACTCCAACTTAATTTTTCCATAACCAAATTATTTTAATCCAGAACATCATTATGTTGGTTTTATAAATAACTTAAATTAATTTTCCTGTCTAACCTATTAGGTGGTAAACTGCCTTATTAGTGTACACATATTTTAACCCAGGTATAAACTTAGTAGCACACTTATTATAGAAACTCGAGTAAATACAAAGGTTAAACCTGGTTTAAATGTGTACTAATAAGGGCCCAGTTAATTCATTAAAGTATTTTTTTATTGTCTTTGCTTCTTTTAAAGTTAATTTCAGTTAATTCTCTACTTTTTGCCTTTTAAAATTAGATTTTAGCTTAATTTTAATCATCATTCTGTGTCCATTTCCTAGTTCCTAGAGAATTGAAGAATGTTCATGTGTGGACTTTCATTTTATAGAAGATTGATTAGTAGAATGAATGTCCATATCTCTTGAATAAGTCAAACACTTAAGGGGATTCGATACCATGATTTTCTGTTTTTGTCTAACACTCGCGCGACATAGGATTTTAGACGGGTTCTTTGCCAAGCATTAAAACATACCAATTGATCTAATGAAGCGATAAGAATTCTAAAAACAGATTTGAATTTGTCGTCAAGTCTACTTGACATCGACTTTCCCACAATTTTGTTTTTTTTCATTTTAACATTTCCAAAAATTGAAATAAGACAATTTTTAAATACCCTTTTTTTTAATGTGACGTTTTTAGGAGTTTATTGGATAATATCAAACATTTGGGAAAGTGGATTTCAAGTAGACTTTACGGCGAATTCACATCTGTTTCCAGAATGCTTATTGTTTAATTAGATAAATTGGTAGTTTGGCAAAAAACACGTCTACAATACTATGTCGCTCGTGTGTTAGACAAATACAGAAAATCACCGGGTGGAATCCCCTTAAAACATAAACATATTTTTAATCTTATAGTTAAATTTAATTTGTCTTTTTTAATGTTAAGTTAAGCTTAAGATTCTTTTAGTAACTTATATATTTAATTACTTTTAGATATCTTACAGTAGTCGCATAATGCACAGTTCTTAAATATCCTAATATTTCTATAGCTATGAATAATCGCAGAAAAATTTATAGAAATTTATATGAGTAAAAACTATTTTATAAGATAAAACAATATATTTTCTAAAATAATTAATTTTAAATTTCTGAACAATACTACTGAATACTGGTATAACAAAAAACTAGTCTTGAACAATCTGATTTTTATGAAGTTCAAAAACTAGATATTTATCGTCATCCTTAAAAAAAAGATTATTATATTACTTTTATTTCTATTAAATGTTAATATTTGTTTGGTTCTGTTATTAGTTTATAACTAATTATTATTATTATTATAATTTATAGGCACAGGTAATTCATGCTAACCCTAATTTTATCATTTAATGATTAATTTATTCAAATTCTGATGTTTTACATTTTTAAGTATACTTAAGAGGACATTGTACCCACATATTATATTTTGTGTCTGCCTAACGTATGACGTACCAAATTTTTGTTCACCAGTTTCAATAGTGTGCTGTTAGTTTTAATATTGGAGTAAATTAACCTATTATCAAACTTTTAGGTAAAAACATTTTTATTTTTTAAGTGAATTATGAGCATTTTCAAATATTAATATTTTACATACTCATAACCACTCTGTAAAATATCGTAGAAACCCAATAAAGAGAACATAGATAATGTTCTTAACATGTTGACTGTGTATGTATTTTTGCAGTTTTCACCCAGTGGGTATATTTAAGTAAAACACAACGGTCTTCTAAAATTAACATGAACTGCTCCTATATGGTCATACATCCAAACGACATATGTATACATATTTTAAAACATGCGTTTAATCCACGCTAAATAATAAATAAATATATATTGAACACCAAATGGTTGATCAATTTGCTTCAATACGCAGTCAATATGTTAAAGTTTGATAATAGGTCATTTCACTCCTATATCAAAACTAACAGCACACTATTGAAATTGCTGAACGAAAAAGACAGAGATAACACATGTGTATACAACATCCTCTTAAAGTCTATAATCTATTCAAATATTAAAATTTTGTATATAATTAATTATGAGTAATTTTTTAATTATCTATTGTTATATATTGTACGCTCAGCAGAACACGTGTAACTCAGTTAGTTTAAAAATTAGAGTGAATTGACCTCTAATAAAATCTAAAGGTAATATTTTTATGTAGGCAATCTCATGGACTTTTTATTATATTTTAATTTTAAAGCGAGTTATGTGTATTTATAAATTGTAAATTGTTTGTACATCTTAAAATACTCATAACTCGCTTTAAAATTAAAATATAATAAAAAACTCATGAGGTTGCATAGGTTAATAATCATATCCTTAGATTTTATAAGAGGTCCGCTATACATGTTCTGCTGAGGGTAAAATGTCCTATGTTATGCACTTGTAAGACTGAGACAACACATGCGGGTATCACATCCTCTTAATACATAGAAATTAAAAACTTAGTAACTACTTGTTTTAATTTAATTTCTATTTGGATCTATAAAAAAAATCATCTATACAACACTGTATGGTGAAATTATCCCATAATTCAGAATTTGTGAATAAATTAAAATAAAAGAAAAAATTGTGGTTTGGAGAATCACCTTGTACTGGTATAAATACTTAAATTGAAATTACTAAAAGGATACAATGTGTAGACTTAATGCGATAACTGTAGGGTGCACAAAAATCCATTGTTTTTGTTGCAATTGTTTTGTACTTATTTTATGTTTATTTGTAAATTATTTAATGCAACAAAGTCAATGGTTGTTAATGTTAATCCGAGTGGAAATGTAACGCACAAATTTATTTTATAACTTGCGTTTTCGCAGATACTTTCCACAGCTAACCGCCGGGTGAGTTGCCCTTGGTTTGAATTGTGGAGAGGAAAGCGAACGTGGTGGATTCACATTGAAATTGATGGTCGTCACGTCAAGAACACTGTTGGACCCTTTAAAAATTATATTGTTACATGATTTAACCAAAAATAAGATAAGAGGTTCCCTCCAAAAAAAAATTGTTAGGGTTTGTCAAAATATATATGTATATAAGTATATATATTAATATATTTATCAAATAAAAGGTACAGTATAAATCCAACGTGCATAACATATTATGTGCTCTATTTAGTGATTATACTTAATCATAAAAGTTTTGTATTAAGCAAACAAAGAATTTCACAGACAAATGGTAACTGTTGTTTCCACAATGGGATTCAAGATAGCCAATCATGTTTGAATATGTCATGAACCATTTGAAGGTTATTCTACATCTTATAAGGTACCTAACCTCTATTTGTAGACATTAAAAAAACTTAGATAAAATCTGAAGTTGAAGTGAACTTTTTTTAATATTGTTGTTTTAAGGTGAATGTTAATTGATTAAAACAGTTAATGAAATATGAACAAACCATGTCTAAGTATTTAAAACAGTGAACTTTAAAATGCTCATGGAATCAAGCCAAGGATTTAAAGCACTTGATAACAGGATAAATTTAAAAATTATTACCTGAGGATCCGATAATATTATTTTGTTTAACCGGACATTGTAAGACAAGCCCTAAATTTTTTTTTAATTATGGCATTTAAATTTTAAAATTCACTTGGCTTAAATATTCAACAATCTTTATTTATACTACCGAAAAGTTAATTATATTACCATATACATCATATTGTGTTTAGTACATATTATATACATTATTAGATCTAATCAATCTAGCTGTAGTAATATTAGACATTATACTTAAATTAATTTAATTTTTTTTAATGAAAAAATTAACTTTTATATTTATTATTATTAGCATACAAAAACTTTACCTAATAATAGATTATAATGATTTTTGGTATTATGAGTATGTTGGTATTAAATTGTGTATGGCTTAGTAAATCTGGTCCAGGCCATTTGAGTTCAATAGACAAATGGGTCAATTAACGGCGAGTCCAATAAACGGCAACTAATGTATTTAGATAATATAATAATATATGTTATATAAAAAAAAATATAGTTTTATAACTTAACATTTACAAAAATTGGATATTCTATATTTTATGATTTAAGAATTTCAATAAAAAAATTAATTAGCTGTTATTATTTATAAGAAAATTATTCATTGATAAATATATATGATATGAATAATAAAAATGAAGCATTTAGTTTAAATATATATAATAATTTAAAATAGTTATGTACTTTTCTATAACAATTAGTACTTAAGAGTAAATAATAAATGTAGTCAGTTGTGGTTGATTTTTATTATTTTACTATGGTATTACCATGTGGTCACTAGTCCAAAACAAGACCAAAAAATACTCTGCCACTGTTGCAGATTGATTACGCCATTGGTACTTGATCAAAATTATGTACTGAAAAAGACGCAGGTAATAAAAGCGGAACGACGCGTGCTCAAGGAGCTTGGCTTTTGCGTGCATGTTAAACACCCGCATAAACTCATTGTAATGTACCTACAGGCACTTGGATTTGAGAAACATCAGTCAATAATGCAGATGTCCTGGAACTATATGAATGATTCGTTACAAACCGATGTATTTGTTCAATTTGATCCAGAAACTATTGCTTGTGCCTGTATTTATCTGTCGGCCAGGAAATTACAAATACCTTTGCCAAAAAGTCCAGCGTGGTACTGTTTATTTAATTCAAATGAAACAGACATCCAGGACATCTGTCGTAAAATACTCAAACTTTATCTTAGGCCAAAAGTGAGTAAAGAATCATAGTTTGTGTATTCAGTATAACCATATTTGTTTGATGTTATTTTTAGGTTATCACGGAAGATTTGGAAAGGCGAGTGGAAGAATCAAAGAAAGAATATGATTATGCTAAGGAGAAAGCTAAAGAAGCTATTGTTCATCCAGTAGTACACACTGATTTAGTTATACCTACTCCTAGTAATGGAATAACTGCTGCTGTTCCAAGAAATATTAGTTCAACCACCACAAATAAGTATGCATTTACTCTCAAGTTCTTACTTGCTTAATGTTTACATGCACACACTTATATTTTATGTTAATTATATTTATTTCATCTTATAGAAAACCAATCAAAAAAAGGAGTAGAAGTAGAACTCCTTTGGAAATTAAGTCTAGAAGTAAAAGTCCAAGACATTTAAAGAAATCTAAGAAAAGAAAGTAATAAAAACATTATTTCCTAATTAGTCATTATACAAGTATATAACACCCAAAAACTAAAAATGTTTTTATATTTAAGTATAGTGTTAAACAAATAATCTTATTATTTTGTTAAATATTATAAATATTTTTTTTACATAACAGTGACTCATGAAACAAGCTTATCTCATTCCACATAACATATTTTATATTCAAATAAACGTTTTACAAAACAAAAAAGCTTATTGAGATAATGAGTCTTTATACTCCGTTCAGGCTAAGAATAATTCAATAATTACTTTTGTACACACATATTGAATTTTTAAACACATTCAACAATTTTTAATGAATGTTAGTGACTTTGTCATTGGGCCGTTAACTTTGTCACTTGCTGTTTATAATTGCTAATGCTGGCTAATTATTCTTAACCTGATTATAGCATAATGACAATGTTTAAAATACTATATAATATCAATATTTATAAACTACTTTAAACATTATTTATTGCATAATATTTATGTTTATATCAGTAGCGCCTCTTGTATATGTGCACAAGCAGTGGCGTATCCAGGGGGGGGGTTTGGGGGTTGTAACCCCCCTCGAAAATTGTTAAATTATAACAACGTTATCATTAATAAATCATTTTAAGATAAAATTCCACAAAAATAAATTATAACCCCTCCCGAAAAAAAATTCTGGATACGCTACTGTGCACAAGTGCCACGTACACTACCTACCCAAACTCAAGAAAAATTGAAAACATAAATCATAATAATTCATCTAAGTACTTATAGTGTTATTGAGATTATTTTTAAAAATAAAAAAACATAAATTCAGAATATTATGAAAATAATATAATATTTGAATTGGGTTATTTTGATGGCCAAACAGCCGGGCGGTTGTGCGCTACGGAACGGTATCGGTGTGTATTACAGACTATTGTGGTGCAGTAGTGCACACAATCGCTGTGCTCATTTGTACAGTGTTAAAATTTAAACAAGTGGAAACACACAGCCCTCGTTATAATGGAATTGATGTGCACATTCGCTCTATGCACATAACCAATTAAATTGTTTTCAGCAAATTATTTTTGACGAAGGCATTATAATTTATTTTTACTCTTATTCATTTATTATATTCGTATTATATTCTGATAATGTTAGTCGATCATTATCAGAAATTCAAAACAACAATCGTGTTTAAGTTTAAAAATATAAACAAAATAAAAGCTAATTGGTGAATAACTAAAATTTGTAAAAAAATTATTTAATACAATTTATAATATATATATATAATATTGGTTTTATTTGTTTTGGATGTGCACTACTTCATTAAAAGCCCATGAGTCGCCACTGGTTTATATAACATAAACATATTTTATTTTTCAGAAAAAAGTTGAGGGATTTGGTTTTTCTAATACATTACATTTATTTTTTTTCCAGATTAGTACCTACTTACAGAGACTATAAAGATTACAAGGATTACAAAGATTACAAAGATTATAGAAGCAATGAAAATTATAAATCCAAGTCTAGGAATTACAACTACCGTAAAAAATATTAATCAAAGCTATGAATAAGTAGTATACTTGTAATCTACCATTTAAAATGTGTTTTATTAAATTTCATACCAAGTGCATTTATTTAAATCTATAAAATACAGTGTGTTAATTAATTAGAAAGTCAGTAAACCAAGTTCTCGACGTAGTGCAGTGTGTTTTAATGTAATATAATATCCTCCATTTTACCATAGTATAAAATGTCGAAAAACGCTTACGTTTTTAACTTTTAAACATTTAAAAATAGTTATTTTATAGATAATTATTAAATAATATTTATAATATTAATTGCTATATCAAATATTGAACACCTTTTTTTTTTTAAAGCCCGTTTTACACGATAGTAGTTATTGTGCTGTCCGTATACTCTGTTCAAGTTAAGAAACATAGTCTATGGCAGAGATGGCGAACCTATGACACGCGTGTCACAGAGTGACACGCGCACACTATTTTAGTGACACACTCAACTGTGTAAAAAGACGTAGACTAAAATATATTGAGATTACAAAAATGAAATATTAAGTTTATGGTATTATACCTAAATGCATTGAATTGAATATCTACACTGCTCAACAACTATTAATTTTATTACTTTTCTATAAGAACTTTATTAGGTATATATATTTTATATAACGGATATAACGTGTAGCTGGCCCACGATTAGCGTTAGTCATTACTCATTCGTTGAGTCGAATGTGTTTCATGTGTTTGTGCAAATTTGTGCAGTTTTCATTATTGGTGAGTGTTATTTTTATAGTAATTCAAAGGTTATATTTAAATTGTTTGATAATATAATATTTGACTTGTGTTTTTATCATTCAAACCATAGATGCAGGAATTTTTAAGTTTAAACAAGGGTTATCAAACTAGGTGACACGCAAAGAAAACAAAATCCAACCAACATTTTTATTTGACACGCTGGTACAAAAAGGTTCGCCATCCCTGGTCTATGGCAACTAGATTTTGTCAGGCAACACCCGTTTGTCTCCCCAACCAGTCAACTATCTGTATAACTGCTGTGTAATATTTCCACGCCCCTGCACACACGTCAGCCGCCGACTACTTTTCTGAACTTGAACAGAGTATAGTGTGATAGCTAGACAGCTTGATACACTAGTTTTTAGGTCTGTGTGAATCTCATAAAATGTTACTGGTTAAACTATTCATGAAATCATGCTAGCGAGTACACAATTTTTGGCAACAAAACTTCATATTTTACACATTATTTACCATTACATATATAAAATTTGCAGGCAATCAGAATACATAAATGTTTTCAGTATTTATCAATTTTATTTGAAATGTTTGTTTTTTTGATATTAATAAAACAAGCACTTATAAAAGTAACAACTGATCAGGTACTAGAACACTAGATTTAACATAATTTTTAAACTAGATGTTATGTTAGTCATAGTAGTATAGTACCATGACTATTATCCTGTGAAAAGGGCTTAAACTGTAATAAATGGCTGAGGAAATTCTTATATATCACATTAAAAAAAACTGTACCAAGTTATAAACAACTAATAATTATTTAGGGTTACTGACTTAACAATTTACATGCCTACTGTACTACCTATTGTTTGTTAAATAATATTACCGGCCAAACCAGAATTTAGGATAAATTAGTTTGGACTAAAATAGCGCAACTAGGTACTTATTACCCTAGGCCATATTATAGGTTTGTTATAAATCATGAAACTTAATATTAGGAAAAACTAGATTATTCTAGTCTAAACTGATTGATAAATTCTGATACGTTATGAACAAAATAATTTATCTTAAAATTGGGTTTGGCCAGTAAAATATTATGTAAATTGGTCATTAAATACATTGTTCTTTTATTATTTTCAAATAGGTTGTAATTATTACGATAAGAATTTTAACTGTACATATTAATGCAAACCATAGAAGAAAGATATTATATTTACAGTGTTGGCCTGCCCATGGCCATATTTATTTTTTTATACCTTAATTAAAAAAAAAAAAGTTAATATTATATAGTATTCACTATTCACATTAAGAACCATACTGTTCAATGAATAGTTTTCGTAGTCAGCAATCAGAGATAACCCAGATGGTCCATCTGTCAACCCCCCCCCCCCCCCACCCACCCCAATTCCATAAAGTCTACCATCATAAGTGAAATGTTGTTAAGCAGCGTCCCTGTACTCAATTCAATTTCTACATAATATGGATCTTAACGTGAATGGAACATAGGATATATAATAGGTAATATAATATATTACATACTTAACCTTAAATAATTGTAATTATTATTTGTAAATGTGTAATGTTTAGTTACAGTAAGAATAAATTTTAAAAATAAATTATTGTGACTATAAACTGTGATAATTTTCAATTTTGTTACCTATGTAATGTATAATTTTGACATTTTATGTCCATGTACATTTTTGGATTAGTCATTGATTTGGTTTATCCATATTTTTGTTTGCAGAGATTTATTTTCGAGTGAATGCATAGATATTTTAATGAGTTTTTTATTTTTGTGTTTGTCATAACATTTTGGAGCCATAAAAATGCTTCGATTTTCAACTTAGAGAATAGTTTTTTTAGTAGCTATATGGTTCTATTTGGAGGGTAAAACAAAACATTCACAGTCATTTATAAAATAATCGGGAAAAATAAAAAAAGGTTTTTAAAGAAAACACGAGTTTTTAATTTTTAATTTTTTACTTATTACAAGTTTGTGATAAAATTGATTTTGTTATTATTTGTGCAACTCAAAAACGAATTTCCGTAGATACATGCAATTTACACCAAATGTTTATAATAGTTTCTTCACTTCTGATTTTAGATCCTGGCCTTGGCGCCACTAAATAATAGTTTTAATACATAAACGGTTTCTCGAATATGTATTAGTATAACTAACTCAATAATTCGTGACCTCAAATTTAGAATTTGGAACTCAATTATTACAACCGCCCTGCAGGCTGCAAAACACTTAATTTTTAGCAGTTTTTTTGGTGGTTTTGAGTTTTGACCAAATATAAAATACAGGTCTATAAAATCACAAAAAAGGTGATAGGTATACCCATATACCGTGTGTTCAATTTTAAAGGTAACAGGAAATATTTCGATCGTGTGACATTGAATTTGAATCGGGGTTTTTATACTGCATATAGGACTTATAAATACATATTTTTTTAATAAATTCAAATTTTTAATTTTTTTTTATCAGCGCATGCGCAGTAAAATAAAAATTTCTTAAATAGCAACCACTATTTTGGAGACCGGATTTCGATTTCTTTATTTTTTCTGAACAACTTTGATCTTTACAGTTTGTTGATATCTTCAAAATTGCCATGTTTATGACGGTCGGAAGTTTTAAAATAGTTAATTTGTAAATATTGCATTTTTCAACGGTCTATCTTAATTTATAGGTATTTATAGCCTTATAGGTATTATTATAACAATTTATTTTTATTAAAACTACTAAATTATCTACTACTATTATCTTAATTTGTTTTTAATAGTATTATAATGAAAGTTATACTATTAACCTGTGTGAATAAGATATTTTGATAGCATTCTAAAATTGATTGTGAATAGTCAAACGTTTTTCGTAAGTCGCGCGTGACACATTATTTTTTGTACATTGGCAAACTATTCCGAAAAAAACCGATATGGTATTAATTTTTGGAGAATGTCATCAAAATTCGCGTAACGCAGCGGCACTTTATGCTGAACGATATCCCGAGAGATATCATCCACCACACAATTATTTACGAATTAACTATTTTAAAACTTCCGACCGTCATAAACATGGCAATTTTGAAGATATCAACAAACTGTAAAGATCAAAGTTGTTCAGAAAAAATAAAGAAATCGAAATCCGGTCTCCAAAATAGTGGTTGCTATTTAAGAAATTTTTATTTTACTGCGCATGCGCTGATAAAAAAAAAATAAAAATTTGAATTTATTAAAAAAATATGTATTTATAAGTCCTGTATGCAGTATAAAAACCCCGAATCAAATTAAAGGTCATACGATCGAAATATTTCCTGTTACCTTTAAAATTGAACACACGGTATATTATATATATATTATATCCCAAACTTGTTATAAATATTAGCCTTTCAGTCGGCAGTATAGGTACCAATTGGCAATTGGTACTCGGTAAATTTGTTCGGAAATTACATTACATTAAATTTACACACATATAATCAGTGGCGTCCGCAGGATTTTTCAATGGGGAGGGCTTGAAAATTAGTTACAATTTAAATTTTATTTTGTCCAGTCTAATAATTGCAGACGTTTATTCGGGGTATTTTAAAATGTTTGTAATTTTTCAACTCTTCTGGTAGAAAAAATGCTCTGATCATAAGCTTCGATGCCAAGTGTATGTTTTTGGAAGCAAATTGGATCTAGTTAGTACTTTTAGGAGGTCGAAATTGAAAATTCTTAGTGCTTTTAAAAATAATTGGAGAAAAAAAATGAAAATTAATTTAAATTGTTTGGTAACAAGCTTGGTTATACAGTCTTAACTTGGATTGTATTTGAATAATTAAAATTTTTTTTCTATAAATGTCAATAAAAAATTATTTATTCGGTCAAAAAGCTTAAAAATGTAATACGTAAGTTTTTTTATTATAGCTAAAATATTAACAATACATAGGCATCATGGTTATTTTTTATAAGCATTTAAAGTTCAAATTTCGTCAAAATCACGGTTAATTTGTAGTTCAAAACTTATAAAATATAAAATATGTATAGATTAAGGCTAGACAATTTAATACAAGGTCTTTCATACAAGTAGTTCATACTTTTACCGAAAAATTACAGATAATTTATGAAAATTGGTATGCAAATACAATATTTTTTCAAAAATGAATTCGTTCTGGTAAGACATATATGAGATTTACTATAGTTGACAGTTTAAACTTGATTAATATTTTTTTGAAAAAGTAATAATAATACGGGCAATGGGGGGGGGGGGGCTTCAGCCCGTTAGCCTCCCCCTGCGGACGCCACTGCATATATA